AAGTCTTCCCTGCGCTATTCAGCACCTTTTGTATGTATGAGAATGCCCATTGTCTGTAGAGACTCTACTCGCACTGTATTGTCCATTCAGTCCTTTTCATCACATTGCAGTTCCTCGGTTATTACGTACATTGCATATTTGTGCATGTAACAGTTGGTATCGGAGCTTTGCACGTGAATCAGGACAACCTGATCTGACACGTGTGCGGGGACTAAAATGCTAGTTAGTCTTTATTGATTGATTAGGACATACTAGTTAGACCCCAAAATCACGATCTTGACCTTACTACCGAAAATCGATTTTTTTTTCCTTTTTCGGATTTTTTTTTTCTCGCTGTTCTGTAGTGGAAAATCGCAATATTGCAACATCTGAAATTCCCATTTTCGTTTTCTTTCTGAAAATTCGAAATTTCGCTGTTGAAAATCCGGAATATTTTTATTTTCGAAAGTTTCGATTTCCTGTTGCATTTCCCATTACTTAGAAATTCGGAATATTTTCTTCTCTGAAATTCGTTTTTCTAAAAACGGTACGGGAAATACCTCCTGCGTTATTATTTTTCAAACTGCGAATCGGAATAAATCCCAATACGTATCATTTCTGTTCGGAATTTTTTTCGCAGTTGTAGGATTCTGGTCGTTCAGTTCTATAAATCATTGGCAGTCTAAAGTCGAATTTTTTTTTTACTTTCAGTGATCATTTCGTACTTCAGGGAGATTGGGAGACCTACCGAACTTGCAAAAATCGGGATTTTTTTTTTTTTTTTTTTTTCTCCAATTTTTTTTTGCAAAGTTCAAACTTTCCTATTTTGATTAGTGGCTCCTTATCTAAGTGTGAGTTGGGCGATTATCCCACCCACCCCTCCCCATCTATGTTGCTGCCATCTCTCGCCTTTCCGTTTCTGTTTGTATCCAGGTATTCCCTGTGGCGGCATGGTGAGTTGCCACGTCAGCAGGCCACGTCAGCAGACCACGTCAGCAGGCCACATCAGCAGACTACGTCAGTACGTCAGCAGGCCACGTCAGCAGACCACGTCAGCAGGCCACGTCAGCAGGCCACGTCAGCAGTACCACGTCAGCAGCAGAGGATACCATATCAACAGGCCCCGGCCGGTCTATGCTGTTGCGATCTCAAACAACAGTCATGGACCAGAGGCCAGGAGAAGCGGATGAGGCCTATCAGGCCCGCATGCTGGCCTGGAGTACCGAGACTAAGAAACGGGCAGATGACACTGCAGCAGCAGCGAAGAAGAAGGCAGAAGATGCCTAGCAGGCACGTCTGCTGCCAGTTGAACAACAGCGCCAGCATGACGAGGCAGCAGCAAGGGCTGCCGATGAAGAAAGGACAGCGTCGTGAGAAGATATTCACCGGAGAGCGGGCGTTACTTACCATGGCAGCAGAATGGCGAACCGAGGCCGAGAATAGCCAGTTGGAGGATAGCGCAAACAAGATAGCGCTCCTCCTCTCGCATCTCACGGATCTCCTGGCAACCTGCATTACACAGCAGGCAGAGATCCTTGGTCTCGACAGATCGCTGGCTCACCCCCAAGACCGTTTTCAGCGGTTGGAGCAGCGACCAGTCGCCCCCGCCGACGCAGGCTCTTCCAATACTGCCGACCGCCTCAATGCATTAAAGATGCACGTCGGCTCACTCCAGGATGGCGCACAGTTACATCTCACCGCGACGCAACAGTTGCAGCAGCGGGTCTGTACCACCGCCACTACCTCGAGTACGGAGCCGCGCGAGACAACTCCAAAGTTTGACGGGCAGGAGATCTTCTGCGACTCCATGAAGACAGATCCGATTCCATGGTTTCGCAAGTTCGAGCTCACGCTGCAGCTGTCCAACGTCAAGGAACACAAGCATCAYGCCTACTTGTACKCTCGCTCAGGGGGCGCGTGCCAGGCTTGGTTGGACAACCTCCTGTCCAAGTACGGAGTAGTAGCGGCCGACTTGCACACCAAGATCAGTTGGGATGATCTGAAGGCGGCGTGGCACAAGCGGTTCCAGGTGGAGCCG